AAGATCAATCACTACAGAGTTTCAAGTATCAAACACTTTAGGAGCACTTTATAATTCTTCAACACATTGGAGGGTTTTGAAAATACAATTTGAGCCAGAGCCAGACGAACAGAAGACGTCTTCACCCGTACGATATTCACATTTGAATGTTTCAATTGGCAAATGCGGCGTCCAACTTTAGTAGACTCGAAGCTCGGGCTCGCAAAAACGCTGGCAAAGCCACAGCAAACACAGCAATCACAGCTTTAACAGCAAAGCCAAAGCCGAGGCGGTCCAACTTGCCGCCCCAGCGAAGATCGCTGCCACATCTTCCTCAATTCCCAAAGAAGCCGAAGACGCCAAAAGCAGCCAGCAAACACAAAACAAATGCAGACTGTCTTTGCGACCGGTCCAGCGATCAGCTGATCTTGGCTTACAGGAGAGAAGAGCTGCGATCCGAAGACAAGAGCGGAGTCTTCGGCCCACGAAGCACTTAACAGCAAAGTTTCGGCACAGAAAAGCCTAACATTTCTGTTAAAAGTGTTATTTAAGGAATTTAATCAGTTCATCTTGAGGGAAGTTGAGTTGTTAAGTTGAGTTATTTTGAGTTAATAAATATATGGATTTATTAAGGGTCTTAAAATTACAGCTGACTTGAACTTAAATAATTTATTTTAGGTTTAAAGAGAGCATATAGGTCAAAACTAAACATATATAAATGTTTCAATTTATCAAATAGATTCCCCTTTCTTTGTTATCTTTGATTTAAAACTATTTATTCTGGCACTTATTTAAATTAATATTATATTTACAATACTATAATAAGAAATAATTTAAGCGTCTTGTAGTAAAAGCTTACCTAATTTTAATTTTAGTTTATTTATAAGCTTAACCTATAAAATTTTTTTTAGTTTTAATTTTTTATAAATTTTTATAAAAAATCATCGAATTATTACATCTAGGTTACATGAAATAGTTGAAATATAAAGTTGTAACTACGTTTTTGAAAGTAATAAGTACACTTTATTTAAAAAAAATTAATAAATTTCATTTAAAGCATTAATTTATTAATAAATCAACTTCATTTAAAGCTATATATTTATTTGTACAAAATATATAACAAATGTTTCTTGCAATGTCAAGGTTAGAAGAACTGAAAAATACACATTTGCATATATCTTATCTTAAAATTTGGGTTTTTATGTGATCAATTTATTTATATAATAAAATATATTTTTAAATATTAAATAAAAGTATATGTATACCAGCTCCTTTATTATTCCCCCTTCCCTGACCTCCTTTTTCCGAATTACTCACACTTATCATCATTAAAATCGCACATGCAATAAGCCCTTTAGGGGATATAACCACTCAAAGGATTAACCTCCTTAGCGCCATTTTCCATAAATTGCATTAAATGTTGTGCACAATCAGCCGAAGTCGATTTCAATCAATCAGCGAGATGACAATTTGAAAATCCATCACCAGTTAATGAGGAAGGGGAAGCACTTGTAGGGTTTTTTTCAAGCTGGGAACTAAGACTCTGGAGAGGATTGGTGTACCGTGGAGTGGAGTAGAGTGGGTTGGTGAGTCTTCGGCTCGATCGCTCGTGGAAGGCATAACAAACAAAATCGCAAATTAAAGATTCGAAATGCTCGCAGTGACGACTTTTTGACTCGAGGCGTTTCTGGTTGCTCGTTTCTTGGCTTAAATTTCGGCTTCTGAGAGAGACAATGGGCCGAAAAGGGAAGACAGCTCAGCTGAGGAGTTGACAGTGGACAGTTTTTATTATGATTTTGGGGCAGCTCCAACTCCTGTTGGTAGGTAGTTGTTGCATAATATTTTGTTTGATTTTCGCTGGCTCTCCGGCAGCGACTGCCTCTACCTTCTGCACCACACGAAGCCAGAGATGCAGATGGCGATTCATTGGGCTTGCGATTATGGATTCGGATTCGCTGCAGCAAACTAAAAACAACAACAACAAATGCCCAAATAATGGCAGTCGCGAAATTTCCCACGAATCTCCCAGCCAAGGGGCATCGCTACCCATCCAGCCGGCATTGGATCACCACCAATGCCCAACTGGCGGCGGTTCATGTAAAATTAACATTGGATTCTATTCAAAAATCAGAAGTGATGGTCGTAATCACCCGCCGGTTGGCGCTTCTGCCTGCTTAACGTGATTTTAATGGCCACTTCGTACTGACTTCTAAGAGCTTCTTGCCACAACTCCTTTCATTATTATTAGTTATTGACAATGCCTTGCAGATGACATTGAGTTTGCGGCTGTCCTCATTAGTAACGGCATGGCGAGTGGCATGCAACTGTAATGAATTGCTCAATTGATAATTTACCAGAGATTTGCAGGCTTTTAAAATAATTAATTGAGAGATCTTATTAGGCCTTGAATTGAAGCAAGAAGTGTTATCTTAGAGAAGCAGGAGGTAACATTGTGGGAAACATTTTTAATAATAATAATCTTAATCCGTGTTTTTATTAGAATACAGAATAGTAATTTCTTAGAACTTCAAGCCTAAGAAGTAAAGTTTTTTGAGTAGTCCTACCTTTTTAAATAGTTTTCCTTTTGTATATATCAAATAATTTTCAGTCTCATTGCCAAAACTAATTCATTTTCCCTTTCAAGCTAGCAAACATAATAAAACACCAATCTGATCGGAATGCACACACACACACATCACAAACACTCCATTTGGTGCAAGCTCAAAGCATGTTGGGCAACAACCTTAAAAGGTCGTCTCTGCATTTTGTGGAACAGCCAGTCGGTGTCAAATCATTGTAGAAGTATCTAAGAAGCCATCTAGCCTATATTTAACCCCAAACTATCCATCACAGATGCATGGATGGTGGTGGGCCACCGTGCGGCAATTGCGGCGTTGCCTTTGCCTTTTGTGGATTGAAAAACCATTTAACTGCCGTTAATTTTAACGCCCGTTTTCTATGCCAGCCCAGTTAGATTGCCACATAGCCCCCCATAGCTGCCGAGCCGAAAACAAAAGCGAGAAGCAGCCGAAATACGTAATGCAAGCGATAATTATTGCCTACAGGCCCAGGCCCAGGCCCAGGCCCAAGCCCGGGCCCCCAAAAACGTCTCCAGACAAACGAGAGAGAAGATGAAGATGAAGCCGAAGCCAAAGCCAAAGCCCCGAAAATACAACAGAAGCCGCCGTGGTCTAGTCTGGGTCTGGGGTCGTGTAGATGATTGAAAAGCGAAGAAGATTTGCATAGAAACGTGCGATTTTCGCCATGGTTGTGGGCCCCGGGCCCCGATCTTCTCACCGGAGCCAAAGTATCTGCCAGATACTTTGCCACATGCGGCACTCTGTCAACGTGCTCACGGCCTGAGAACCGAGAACTGAGCGTACCCGCTGCCTTCAATTACTCATCCATTCATGCCGTCAAGTCCGTCCGTCATTCATTCAGCTTTCGGCTGCAACAATTTGTTGATTTAATTGTTCCGTTTTTTCCCCTTTTTTTTGTTTTTCTTTTGGGAATCTCTGTCTGATATCTAGGCGCGGCATTTTTCTTTAGATAATTTGCTCACATTCTTGGCCCTTATGCGGCGGCATGCGAGATTTTGCCGAAATTATGTTGTTTGTCGAGGCTGATTTTGAAATGTTTTTTTTTTCTCGACTCGACCCAAATTTGTCAAGATCAATGGTGGAGATAACCCCATGATTAATGCTCGGGGGTTATGCCTTTGGTAGCTTTGATAAATGCTTTGGTTTCTGTATTTTGTAGAGCAGCCGAATATGTTTACCTTTGCGTCTTTCAACGCTAATCTTCTCGATCGAAGACCTTGAAAGGTTCTCAGATGGAATATATATGAGAAAAAGTCTGTTTTAATTCTAATTTTACAAATATTTTATAGCAATCTATTTTAGATTTTCACAGTTCCTATAACAATTATTCTTATTCAATTTCAAGATAATTAAAATCCATGACATCAATATATGTTTCTCCATTATCTGCCAAGCCACAAATAACTTGAGGTGATTCAGCCAATACAATAAGGTTAGTTAGCCAACCTGTTGGCCAGGCCAGAACTTCGTGTGTATCTTTATTATAATATCAAGTGCATCATCTCCCGCGGAATGTTAACTAAACCAGATAGGCGAGTGAAAAGTGATTATATTGCCTAAAATCCAAGCTTGTCTCTGATTTCGGGGGCCCAATTTATCTCCCCCGACAGTTGAACAAACGAAAGTGATATCTTTGCCTTCGAACTGGGCAGACAATTGTGTGCTAATGATGAAAGACAAGCGGGATGGCCACCGGAGAAGCGAGTGAGTATTTATGGCCAGGCCTGTGTCAAAGTGCCGGAGCGGGCTTTAATATGGTCACGGATCGTCGAGGATCGCCGTGGATCATAGCCAGATGCAAATGACACAGAAAAAATTTGATATTTTTTTTATTGAGCATTTTACAAACTGCACAACAAACCGCGGGGCATGACCTCCGCTCCAGCCACGAAATCCGACGACTTGCTCGGGCTCAGGCTCGGGCTCTTCCACAAGGAATCACGATGGGGCAGCGGTTTTTTGTGCATTTAAATGCAGCCGAGAGATTTATGTAAGCCGCGGCCCAGACTGGCCGAGTTGGTAGCACAAGGAACCCATCATTATCGATCGATATAGGCAGTCAGACGGCGATGAGAGACTGCCTGGCTAGCTGGCTGGCAGGGGATAATAACTTGATCGCAGGAAAATCATTTATTGTGACACGATCGCTGATTGGGCCGCGATAAATCCCCGATTCTCCCCCACTCGGCGGCATTAACTTGTTGTCATGCGGCGGGCCGGGTGATTATTTGGCTCTTTTCTTTTTACGATGCTTCGGAGATAAAAAAAATATACACAGTTCCGCGAATTTCATGAGTTTATGATGTGTGTAGTTCCAGCCTGGGCATCATAATCCGCCCAAGTAGATCATTTCCTCATTTAATTTGTTGTGAGTAAGCCGAGATAAAAGTTGTGGTATCTTTATATTTGTTATTGTTGGTTTATCTTCAATTACTTTTAGAGAAACCATAATTATTACTACTACTACCCACAATAATGGAATAAATCAAAGCTTCGCTTCATCAAATACACTTCGTTTAAGCTCTCAAACAACAAAAACAAAATGTTAACTAATTCTTTTTATATCCATAACATTTGACGTTAATTTGGACTTCCATGGTTAATAACACATATGGCTTCTCGTACCAAGCGTACCCTCTGGCAGTTTCTGGCCACTGTGGCAGGTGAATGTCAATTCGATGATCCTTTTAGTCAACTGGAAATTCTTTCTATTTCACAACAGGTTGCATTATGGCATTAGCCCACGGCATTACGCTGGGTTGGTTCTCGCCCACGCTGGCACTCTTCCTTTCCGACGAGAGTCCTTTTGGGAAACCACTGACCGTCAATCAAGTTTCTATGTAAGTCAAGTGCCTATAAAATGCTATGAAATGCTAACAAAATAGAAAATATGGTTTTGACAGGGCTAGCTCGGTCGTTCCACTTGGCGCACTGTTGTCCAATTTATTCATTGGCTGGCCTCTCGATTTTTTTGGCCGCAAGATAATCATGTATACTGCCGCCGTTCCCAATTTGGTAAGTAGGAGGATTCCCTAGAGCTTCTTAACACAACAATTTTGTTATAGATCAACTGGATTCTTTTGTACTTCGGGGACCATGTAGCCTTCTTATTTGTGGCTCGGTTTCTGGTTGGATTTTCCGCTGGCATCATGTTGGTAGTTATTCCCATCTTCATAGCGGAAATTGCTGATCCTGAGTAAGCTGGTTTTAAGATTTTCTTAAGTCATACGTTCACCCGATAAGGCTGCACTCTCGTGTTGTGCAATATCGGTTCATAAGCGATTAGATAGGAATAGGAATTGGAGAAACAAGAAAATTATTCCACTGAACGAGGAGATAAGACGATATAAATCACTATTGACAGATGTCCACGTAGTGACGATGAGCACCATGAGAATATATAAGCTATAAGAGACTAAAGAATATATAAGAGTAAAGAATAAAGATAGGTAGGTAGGTTGTAGTGTTAGTAGTTAACATTTTGGTATCCCGGTAATGGCCTTCTGATACAATTTGTACTCTGAAGATACGAGAGTTCGATTGCTTTCAGTATTGCGAGAACCTCCGCCTAGATTAATAATAAATTTAATTTCGTAGAACCTTTCGTATTTGACACTTGTCTGAAAGCATTGTAATTAAGAGGTGTTTTTGGATGATTTATATATTCCCAAAATAACATAATATTTCATTTAGTTTCCTAAGTTACCACAAATTTTTTTATTTATTTCTTTTCAAGAGTACGCGGAACCATGACATCCATGCTGATCCTGAATATGTGCGGCGGCATTTCACTAGGACTTATATTGGGCTCTTACATCCCGTACAATGTCTTTCCCTTTGTCGCCGGTGCCGTGCCCATACTCTATGTGTTGCTCATCTTTCCACTGCCAGACACTCCGACTTTTCTCTTGAAACGTGGTCGCGATGAGAAGGCCATGAAGTCCTTCTATTTTTACAAGAATCTAGGAAGCAAGTCCTCGAGTGACCTGACAAGGGAAGCGGCAGCAGAAGCTGAGTTTAATACATTTCGGGAAAATGTTCTAGGTGGTGACGTCGCCCAGAATGCTAGTTGTCGGGATTTCTGTAAGTTAATTATTGAAAAATAATCGTATTACTTAAAGTACTACACTCTACGTTTTCAGGTGAAATCAATCGAGGTAATTAAGATCCATTTCACTTTTTTTGACCAGTTAGCAAGACGGCCTTGAAGGCTTTCGGCCTGATCTCTGTGGTTCTCCTGTGCAACTCGTTTTCGGGAGCCTTTGCCATCCTGAATTATGTAGCAAAAATCTTCTTCGAATTGGGCAGCAGGATACCCCCGAACACCTGCGGCAACGTAGTGGGAGTTTTCCAGCTGCTTGGCATCTTCTGCGCGGTGCTCCTGGTGGACCGACTGGGTCGCCGCTGGCTGCTCATCCCCACGTTTGTGGTAGCAGGTCTGGGGGAGCTGACCGTGGGTCTGCTCAAGTCCTTCGCCTCCAAGGACTTTCTGAGAGAAAATAGCTGGCTGGGTCTGACACTGATCTGCTTTGTGGAATATATGGTGTCGCTTGGTGTGATTCCACTCACCTTTGTCGTGATCGTTGAACTGCTGCCGGTCAAGGTGAGTGTTTGCAAACACTCAGAAAATGGTGGGTAAGGAGAGGTTTACCTCCGCAGATCCTTTCTATTGGCGCCTCTATCAGCATGGCCGCCTTAAATATCCTATTGATCGTGGTGCTTGCGGTATATCCGCTGATGATATCCGGACTCGGAGTGGGCTCCGTGATGTACATGTCAGCCGGTGTCTGCTTCTTTGGGGCCATAGTCCTGGGAATGTTTTTGCCGGAGACCAAGGGCAAGCAAATCATACAATGAAGGGTTCAATTTTTGCTAAGACAAAAAAAAAACAATAAATATATCATTAAAAATAACAATTTCACAATATCTATAGATATCTGGATAAACTTCTAGACTCGGCAAAATCTTCCCTTGGTGACAGCTTAACGATGTTTATTTTTGCCCATATCTTAGCACAGCTGTGAGAATTTCAAGGCTCTGTGAAATTTGCTTCCAACTATATTGATGCCATAATAACACCCATAGTCTTGGTGATAAACAAAAGAAAGATAAAAGGTGGGACTGAGGACAAAACAAAAAGTATTTTCTACCAAAAAGTGAGATTCTAAGATGTAAACTTTTTTCAACAAGTGTCGATTACCGTCATAAAAAACCGATTACTTTTTACAAATCCTCTTGTCTAATCTTTGGCTAATCTTGGACAAATATTGTCAACCAAGTCATGCAAAGTACTTCAAATTTACATTTACTTAGTGATAAACCCGAAAAGGGCTATGTATTTTTTATTTTGCACTTTTTTTGGCAACAAAATTTACAGACTTCTTGACCCAGACCACTCCACGCTCAACGTGGTGTATTAATCAGCGTTTAAGACTCTACAACTACTTAGTACTTATCTAATCTGCAAGTCTTTTATATAGTCGTCATTATTGTTTACGATCCCGCCAAGATTGCAAAGTGATTTCCACTACAAAAGCCTTTGCAGCAGGCCGAAGAGCCTCTCAGTAGGCACACGACTGCCCCAGTGGTTAATTCATAATCCCAAGCAATATTGGAGTACATTACGGAACGGGAGTATCCCAGAATAAGGTCGCCGACATGACTTTCGATACCAGCCAGCCGCAGAAGTTGAGTTTATTTAGTGCGCGCTACCGATGGCAGATTATTGCCACCATGACGGGTGGGTGAAGTTTATGGCCTTTGGACTTATTCAAATTAAAATATTAATAAATAATGTAATTATCACAGTGCACATTATGACGCTGACTCATGGCATTGCCGTGGGATGGCTGTCGCCGTCTCTCAGGCTACTTGGCTCCGACCATAGTCCCCTGGGAGATCCTCTCACCATCACCGAAGCATCCTGGTAATAATATCAAGGAGTCTAACAAAAGACATCGAACCTAATCCTCTGTGACTTGTAGGGTCGGATCCCTGATTGGCCTGGGCTCGATGACGGGCAACATTGTATTTGGACTGCTGATTGATCGTTTGGGCCGCAAACTCTGCATGTACTTCCTGGCCATACCCAATATGGTAGATAAAGCTCCCTGTTATTTTAAAGGGGTTTTTCAACCGTCCTGAGTCACATTTATAATGCCTTTTTTAATTCGATAGATGTATTGGATCCTTATCTACACCGCCCAAGACGTTACGTATCTTTATGCGGGACGCTTTCTGGCCGGGATGTCGGGCGGTGGCTGCTACGTTGTCTTGCCCATTTTCATTGCGGAAATCGCTGATAACAGGTTAGTCGGGCCTTGACCATGGGAGAAACTGGCACACGGCTTAAAGGGTAATCGAATTGACAGATTATTTCAAGTTTTACGTGCAGCCGATAAGGGGAAACGTAGTTCCCAGGTTCACATAATCGGCGCACGTTTGTGTCTGCCTTTAAACGATTAGATAGAGGTCGGAGAAATACCCTCTATTTATATTCTCTTCTGTAGAAATTAACATCAAACTGGTTAGATTATTTTAGTCATTCCTAGTAATAGTAGAAAGTTGAAAAAGTATTGTAGAATTGTTTTGGGGACTTCTTAACTGGGAAATATATGATAAGAGTTTACAACCAATTGTTTTTGGTTTCTGTTATCCGTCAGGTACTCGAAAGATATGGATATTATAACGTTTTAGAAGGTAAAGTGCGGTAGGTCAACCATTTCTGAAAAGGAAAGGTTCTATCAAGAACATACATTCATATATAAAATTTTACTTTCATCTCCTACTTTTTCACGTAATAAAGTCTGTAATAAAGTATCTAAAAATAATTCTTCCAGCGTTCGCGGCGCTTTATCTTCCATGGCCATGATGTACGTTAGCATGGGCATGATGGTGGGCTTTGCCCTGGCCTCGTACCTCTCCTACTATCTGATGCCGTGCATAATCATAGCCCTGCCGGTTGTCTTTATGCTGGCAATATTCGGCCTAGCCGAGACGCCACAGTTTCTGCTGAGGCGCGGACAAGACGTGAAGGCCGAGAAGTCCTTCTACTTCTACAAGAATCTCAGGCCACCCCCAGCCGGCGACAAGGAATCATCTCACCATGACGCGGCCAAAATCGAGTTCGACACCTTCCGCCTGCAGGTACTCAGCGGCGGTGTCACCGAGAGCATTACCTGGCGAGATTTCAGTGAGTAATAAGCTTCTTTATACACAGATTATATGTTGTTGATTCAGTCAAACAAGAACAAAGTAGATAAGATGTCAGGCAGATCTGTTAACATATCAATTTGTTTAAAGTAAAGTGTTTTAAAGCTGATATATAGTTTTTTTTAAAACAAACAATGATAGTGAAATTTAAGAATGATTCAAGAAGGTTTTAATAGTGATAGATTATATATAGATTGAAACAACAAGATTATCTTGAAGTAGACATCAACATTTGAAATATTTGTTTGTTAGTTTAGTATTGGTAAGTAGTTTTAGAATGTTTTTATTGATTTTATAATAAACTTATTGTTCCTAAACTTTTCTTACAGTCAATGCACCCACTCTAAAGATATTCGGCCTTATATTTGTGCTAATCGTTTGCAATCAGCTCTCTGGGAGCTTCGCCATCTTCAACTACACATCGCACATCTTCGCAGAGCTGGGCAACAAGCTGGATCCCAACACCTCCACCATTGTCGTAGGCGCTGCCCAGTTGGTGGGGATCTTATGTGCTGTGGCCCTAGTGGATCGCCTGGGTCGTCGTGTCCTGCTGCTTACCTCAATGGGTGGCATGGGCCTCGGCGAGTTGGCAATTGCCCTTTTGAAGACTTTTGCCTCGGAGGAGTTCCTTGACCAGAATGGCTGGCTGCCGTTGGTCATCATGTGCCTGGTGGCCGCCATTGCCTCGCTTGGTGTCATAGCCCTCATCTTTGTCATCATCATCGAACTGCTGCCAGCTAAGGTGGGTTTTGGTAAAGGGAGGATTCCAGTATTAGTATTTAATTTGTATTGTTTTGCAGATCCGCTCCATTGGCACCTCCTTGAGCATGGCCACCTTCAGTGGATTCATTTTCGTGGCCCTAAAGATCTATCCCATAATGATCAACGATCATGGCCTGGCCGCCACGATGTTCATGTCGGCGGGCATGTGTTTCTTTGGATTCGTAGTGCTGGGAATCCTCCTCCCCGAGACCAAAGGCAGGCTACTGACGCACTGATCACTCATCTGACATCAACCCAACTAGGCCCAGCGGCGAAGTCAAAGAGTTGGCCGGGGCCTTTGTTGGGCGGCAAGTCCATTGAATAAGCTGGTTAAGAGGAATCCATACGCGGCTCCATGTCAATAATTTGTGGCACAAAAGCGGCAACGGCTCATCCTGAACTCTTGAACCCACATAATTCAATTTCGGAGCTCTGTGGTTTCCTTTGGAACTTTTTTGTACATAGAAATTTAATTTAATTTGAATGGAGAAAGTCTTGGGGCTGTGATCTTGCGATTGATAAGCGCGAAAATTGTAAATGAATAGGTCTAAGTAAATAATAGCTATTATTTGCCTTAAATATGTAAGTGTACAGTGGAAATCATAATTGGGGAATGGAATGTACTTGTATATTTTTAAAAAATATCATAAATTAGTTAAAACTAAGCCTGCGGCCTAGTAAATTAATTTTGGCAGTTACAGCACAGCGTTTTCTCTTTGGAAAATAGGAAAAAGCCCTGTGTTAATCGATAATGGATGCAAAATACTTTAAATTTGCTTACATTTTCACTCCTGACAAATTTTCTATTTCACCCTATGGTACTTACGGATTATATAAATCGATTTCACACCACACCAATAAGCCAAGCAAAGACTTTAAAGAAAACTCTTTGGCCGCAGCGATTTTCCTGCGATTATGCTATGGCGCAGAATTAATGAACTCGCAAAAGCGTAGAAGATAAAGGCACCGCGGCGATGGCAAAAGCCAAGCGGCATAACATCGAAAGAGCCAAACAATGACTCATAAATTCAAACACAATAAAAATTATTTATTTTGCTGCTGCGACTGGTACTTGTGGAGCGCTGCAAATGCAGTTTCTGCGCAAATTAAGCAGCCGCGATACGAGCGAGGAGAAAAGAAAATTTGATCTCTATGACAGGACACACAAATCTCGCTCAGATCTCCAGAGACGACGACGATGCCAGACAGACCAAACAAAAGCCAAGCCATGCCAAATGGGGCAGAGACCTGCACAGAGAAAAATTATATCTAATTTAGGGTTGTACAAATAAGTTCTTAAAGTACTTAAAATTGAGTACAATTTGCTAAAAATATTTGTACGCATCTTGGCATAAAAAAGGCTAAAATAATGTATTAAATCATCACTAAGGAACTTTAAAAATATTAAAAATATGCTTACAATAAATTTATTAAATTCCTATATTTAAACAACATTCGGCAGAGTTTCCATAAGGTTTCTATGACACATTTCTAGTTACAAATTATTTCAAGATCAGTGCTCAAGCTTTTCCCCTTTCTTAAATATTTTTTATATATAATTTTATCAATTAATTTGTACAAATAACTTCTCTCTCTGTAAACAAAATCCACAGAGGCACAATCAAATGCTCACATTTTGAGTGAGGGGGAGTTTCTGACTCGTATTTCGGGAGTCCATTCCGTCCACTCACTCACTCCTCCACTCATCACCGGCACAGACGTTGCATCAAAATGCAGTTTCATAATTTTCACACGTTTTTCAGACGCTCTCGGGAAATGGGATCTGCTGACAGGCGGGCGGAAATTTGTAACAACTCCAACTTAGCTGCACTTAGAGCTGAGTGCAAATGCGGCGGCAGACAGCAATTAGCTGCCGCTGATTAAGTTGATAATCACACAAACACACACACGTCTGATGATGGGTCGGTCAGCCCGGGATGACTTGCCGGAAGTCGCTGCGGTCCCCACGGGGAGGCTCCTTCACTCCAATCCACTCATGGGAGTAGGTGGGTGGCCAAGCTGGCAGGCCACTGATGCAACCGCTCCCGAACCGATCACAATCCCAAAAAGAGGCCGAAAAGTTGGGCAAACAATTGCGGCTAATGCGAGCGATTGCTCATTGTTGCGATTACGAATGAGCATTTGATTTGTGGCCAATTGTTCGCTGATCAGCCCAAAGACCCAAAGAAAGCCGGAGAGCAATCGCAATCCCATTGTGTGCCCTGCATGACTATTAACACGCAATTTTCTTCCCTCTGGCCGAAATGTCATAGTTTTTTTCTACCTCACCTTACCTTTTGTGGAGCCTGCCAACGGTAGCGATTCCGATTTTTAGCTTCCATAATTTACAATTAGCGCCGGGCGCCACTCACCCACTGATCTCCATTGATAACGATACACACATTTCCTATGGGATGACAGACAGTTGGAAATTGTTTCTCCATTTATTTATTGTGTCATTGCGAATATTGAATTCATTATTTGAGTTTGCTTTGGGTTTCTATTGTGCGGAGTTTCGGTAATTTCGGTGAAAAATTGCCTTAAATGTTTATATGCTCTAATTTCGTGAATTCCGCATTTCCTTTTCACTTATATATTGTATTATACAATCGAATGATGGCTGAAGGGCATTCAGCACGAGTGAATGAGTTGGTTCTTTTTCGTAGGGTTTACATAATACGTTATTCACATTTGCTTTATGTTTGATATGCTAACTAAATAAATAGTTTGGCCCAAAGTTGACTGAACTTTGGCCAAAATAAATACCTTAATGTATGCACAAAGCGAGTATTTGCATTTTAAGCATCGCTCAACGAAAATACTTAAATATTCATGCCGTTTGGCTTACTTCCAAAGACGAAATAAAAACCTGACTTGCGGTGTGAAAACCTTTTGGTAAACAAAACGGAGATGAAAAACAAGGCAGAAGCTACCTGAAAAAAACACGGCTGGAAAACTCACACTCGTATATTAGCCATGATTAATTGAAAGGTCAAGTGGCGAGTGAAGTGCGTGAAGCGCGAGATGAATTTATTCAGATATAAAGACATCAATGCTGAAGAGCTGCTGCATTGGAGTTATGTGTGAGAAGGTATTCAAATAACTTAACCTAAGTGGCCTTGGTGAGTCAAAGTAATGGCCAAAAGGATCCAGACAGGTTGACAAAATTAATTAAGCAAAAATCGGCGTGAAAAAATATAGCTTTTAATTAGCGCTTCCTGTCAGTCCAGCATTTATTAAGCGTCTGCCAATAATATAATTAATAAGAGTACCTGTGTCTGTGCCAGCATCTCAAAAAGGTCATTAAATCAACCTCAACTGGCGGTTGGCAAGACAAAGCCGTATATTTCTGTCTTACAAAAGTGTTCGCTGGCCTGGCCTTTAAACATGAATTATAAATTTATGTTAGAACATTAATTTAATGCCTCCGCCGGACGAAATTTCGCCACACTCGAGATTTATGAAGTCCACGAAATTAGCCACGATCGTCAGCATCTCAAAGAATGGTCAAGTGTGTGGATAGGATGCGAGGGCAAAAACACCATTTGGCCAGCATTTGGGTTTAACAAAGGCCGCCGAAGACCTTTCTATTTTCTATAATGCTAATTTATGTTAGCCACGACAGCTTTATTTCTATAATTATTATGTAAGAGAATCTCTGGCCACCAATCACCGGGTCAAAAGAAGAAACCCTATTAATAAGGAATTAACTCTTTTTTTTTTCTTTCTAAAAATAAAACGCGGGAACTGACGCAAGTTCCTAAGAGATTACATAACTGCTGACCCTGAAAGTGTAGAGGTAAAAGAAAAGGTATTAAATCATGAAAAATGATTGATGAGAACAAAGTTCTGAAAGATTTTAAGGGGAAAGTAGTTGGAGAAAGTAGTAGGAAAGTGGTTTTGTTTCTTTGTTAACTTTCAGGAAGCAAAAACCTTTGATATCTCACTTGTCTGTTGTAGAGAATTTCGAAACCGTAGTGCTAAGTGACTAACAGATGTTGTTTGCTCAAAGAAAAGGTTTAACACTGTCTTTTTATTTTTCATTAAGTGTCAGAGAGTCTGAATTGTGTTAGTTTATATGTTCGTTTATACTTCTTTTTTTTATATTTACAAATTATTATTTCTCATGATAACTTTATTATTTCAAAGATACCGACCCAAATTTTCTAGATATATTTTTAGGAAACGTAAAGAGCACTCTAAATAAGTTGGTAAGAATAACAATAAATAGTCAAATTTAAACATCCTATATTTTAAACCAACTTCTTGGTAATTGTTTATGTTAAAGTTCATTCAAAGAAAGTTCTGGTAGTGGACAACAATTGACATCATTGACAGGGACTAGAGCAATTATGTTAAGCCTGTGAGTCGTTGTCGCCGTCAGTGGCAAGTTGTTGTAAATTTGGTTATAAAACAAACACAAATGACATTATTCGCACGAAGGCAGGACGGTGACTTTGCCAAGCTGCTGTTGCAGCCGTTGCAGCACGACTTTCTTTAGCAGCAGCAGCAATATGCAACAGCAACAGCAACAATCAATTCGACAGCAAAGACGACAACATTTGCGCAGGCGCAGGCGCCTTGGTTGCGCTTCAACTTCCGGAAATCACGCTGCTTGTTGTAATAATGTTTTTGTTTCTGTAAGTTTTATTTTTACTTTTTTTTTGTTCAGTTTCGACTAAGGAATGGGTCAGGTCGGCGGTATTGCAAACGAAATGTGCACGCGAGCGAAATTACAAAATGCGCACAGTTAACGTAAAATTTGTTTGCCCAAAGTTGTTAAATTTTTTCAATTATGCAAAAAATAAAATTTTAACACAATCTTGTGGTGGCGGTGACGGTGGCTGTGGGTGAAATGAAGACATGAAGGCACGAAGACGATAGCCGAGAGACTGGTTGCCAAGCGCAGTGCATTTCCGATGGGTTATGAAACTGGCCAGGCACAGGCATAGGCCCAGGCATTCACCTCCTTGAAAGGGCAACTCTTGGTGAACTGCACGGACGAATGGGAGCGGGAAAGCCCCAATTACGGGAAGTATCTCAAGTGGATTTTAAAAATCAATTAACATATTTAAATAGCAAAAACAACGATTAGCACAACGGTCTTGAGCTACGATATTAATTTGTATTTAAATAATTTATTTAAAATTGGTTTATAATCTTAACTCTTTGATAAAGAATTGCCTTTACACATAAACATTTAATTAATATGCCAAAACCATCTTTGAATTTAATATTTTCATGTTTTACATGAGCTTTGACTCAATTATCCTCTTTGTACATGAATTTAAATATCATATCTTCTTCAAGTTAACACCTCTATTAACACCATTGTAGTATCCCATAGAATTTCCACTTCTCACAATTTGCCCACATAATACTCAATCAAATATGGTAAGTATATTTTCCGCAGATAGAGAAGCATAAAATCGACTGACTAATGCGAATTTAATTGATCGCCGACTACCGAAATTTAGCCCAAAACAAGCGGACTTGCCAAATTGACACCTTGATTCGTCCCCGGAGTGCTCGGGCACTCCCCGGGCAGATGGCTAATGTCAGACAAGAGTTCGGGCTTGGGCCTTCCTCGGCACTTAAAGCCGTGGACTGCAATTTTATAAAAAATTCTTTTGATTTATATGTACGAAGGCGCGAGAAAAGCAGCCGGAGTGGCCTTCCCAAGTGGCAATCAATTCTTGTGGCCCAGCTCACAGACGGAGATTCGCAACCAAGTCGCAGCCCCCAGGGGCATGGAACACTCTGCACGTGTTGACTCCCAGTTGAAGTCGATGATTTAGCTCGCCTCGTTACCTCAACGCCATTTGACCCCGCAGCAATTGAGGTAGCCACGATTCGTCGACAGTCTATCCCGTCTGGCACTCGGCACCAGTGATGCTAAAGGTACTTATTGATTAACCCAAGGTACTGGAAATTGGCAGGAGAAAAGGTTATTGAAAGGTACAATGTATAAAGTATTATTTGATATTATTAAATTGGGAAATGTATAGCCAGACCCTTAACATAAAGATATGTTATGGTGCTCTAGAAGTCCCAAGAGATTTTAGAAACCTTTTAAAAGTATGCCTAAAACTATGCAATGCAATTTTTAAGGTAACTAATTAGGTGTAAATTAGTTTTTGTACAATGTAAAATTGATTGCTGTGGATTGGTGGATTTTAACACCTTTTAGAATCTTCAAATCGTATTGATATCTGTCTTACCCACAAATAGTTAAGGCAGCATTTTCTACCAGCATTTTTATGGCATACTTTTAGACACAATTTTAAGCGATTTCATACCTCCATTTGTTTACTTTTTACTTGTAAAAAAAAGGAATTAGGATAAGTATTTAATGATCTCTTAAAAATATTTCTGTAAATGCACAACACATTGTAGGAGGTACTTTCATCCTGATACTTGCCCATCACTATTCCGTCTGCCGGCAGTTAACAGTTGGCAGTAGTCGAGGGCCTATTCATTTCTTTGGTTATCAGAAAGGCAGCGATCGCGGCAATATGTTTTCTATATGCCTCATTTCTGCACAAATCGCTTGACCTTAAGCGTTGCTGTAATTTATTTGTCGTTGTCGCAATTTCCCACACACAACTCGACCCGACGATTTTCCCGCTCGGCTTTTTGTTATTTCTTTTTTTGTGTTTAGAAGCTACAAACTGTATTACGTTGGGTTTTTAGCAGTTTAGTTTTGTATTTGATTTCCCTCCTTTGGGCCCGGGTTCAGTCGGTTAGTGGCGGGAGGAGGCTGGTGGCTTTGTAGGTTATTGTGCCTGCCCTGGCATCTGGAGGTTATGTAATGTCTCCGCTGCCATTGTTGAATTTGGTTTTCCTCGGCTCAGCTTAGCTCGCGGGGCGGGTGGCCTTATCAGTTTGCCAAGCCGAGCTCAGCGTCACACTGTGAGGGCATTTACAATTTACAACTTTGATTGTATAACCGAGCATTTGGTGTTGCCTTTTAATTGATTTTATCCAGCTGATTGAACACAATTTGCGGAAATCGAGCTTATTTTTTATTATTTGCGGGGGGCGAAGTTCTCCGATTTGAACTATTTGGTTGGGAAAAGAGGAGAAATTTGTCAAGTATCAAAAAAGTAATAGGAAATCAGTAACAATTGGTTCAATTTGTTTTTGAATTTTTGGGATTAAGACTCTGACTTTTTAAAGTTTGATTATTTTATTTAAAAGATGACAAAGGTTTCTGTAAACTTTTATAAAAAAAGAAAAGCAAACCTGAATTTAGCTTAGCAAATTCTTTGGTAATCGCTGAGCAAAGCCTTTTTATATAATGAGCCTTCCCCTTTTAGTGTCTATATAATCAAATTAGGGCCTCAATTTCCTCCTAGCATGCACCTCCGCCAGACCCATCGTCTCGTCTGCCTCATGTATAACACTTCCTGACTAATGAAGTGCCCAGAGGTGGCAGCGCTGCCACGGATTCGGTACCGAGTTTCTGGGGAAGACATCTTCATTAGCGCTGAGTGATATGTTAGGCGAAATCCAGAGGAGAAAGAGACGTTCGTCTGTCCGGCGAAGGTGTGAAAATGGGCAAATGGGCGCCGAAGTCTCCCCCACACATTTCGCTGAGGGCCGCCCATTTAAGTGTCCAATAATTCAATCACATCAAACGCCATGTTGATGGGCCCCAAAGTGCCGTTAAAGCGTTTCAATTACAACAATTGCCATCGAAGACGAGAAAGTTGGGCTTATCATGAGAAATGTAGGAAAATCAGTGGAATATACACAGAAACAAAAAATACTAGCATTATTATTTGATGAAATCAAATTAATAAACAAATCAGTAGGCTAGGTGTATTCAGTCCAAGCATCATCACTCGAGCTAAGTCTACAGCCTTCCATCTACAGGGTTACTTGAGCAGTTTGGCAATCAAAATTTAAGTAAAATAATAATTTTAATTATGGTACAAAATTCTTCGGCTAAAAATCCTACGCTCATGGATCTTTCAAGTGTCGAACGGCAGCAGTCTGGCCAGCAGCGCCGCTGGGAGGATATCCACAGTCTGAACACCTTTCTGCAGGACATCTTGTGTTTCTTCATTCTGCTATCCTTGGGCCTGGTGATGGTGGCCTGCATCCTATGCTTTGTTGTTAACGTCCGTTACACAGCAACACCGCAGCACAGCCATTCGGATAAATCAACAAATATGTCGCGGGTAATTACCGCGGATGTGTTGGCTCAGCAAGCGCGCTTTCAAGGTGGACCCATTTGGATCCGTTTTTTCCGTTGTCAAAAGCAACAGCCGCAGCAGGAAGCAAAACTGGAGCAGGTGCGGGAACCGGAACAGGATGTTGTGGGACAGGGACAGGAGCAGCATGCGAAGCTTGAAAAGCACCAGCCTCATTTCGTTCCCACCTATCAGCCCATCGACTATTCCGACCTGGCTGGCGGGGACTACGTTGATAAGCAATCAGACTCGGTAGCTCAGCCATTTCCTGTCGGTTAGTAATCATGTTCGGCTCTGTTGGGTATCCGACTTTAATGCACTTGCTCCTTAGATAACTTCAAAAGGAGGTAAAGGCCTGATGACACGATAAGTTTTAAATGTGACTGTTGAGTCTCAGCGTGTTATAGAAGACTTGATATCCCCTGATATCCCCTGGATTTTCTATATATTTTGGTAGGTATCAAGCACTATCGTCGACAAAACAACAGGAAAAGGCAGAGGTTCTCGAGATAAACGTATTGGTTTTGTAATAAATGCCTAACAGCTGCCATTAAAGCCATTCAATAACTCAAATTTACTTTATTTTTAAGTAGTTCCAAAGGCAGTGAAATACTTGACTTAAAACCAGTTAAATTTCTTATATTACAGCTGAAGTTCAAGTGTAAAAATAAGTAATTTCGGGCTTTTGGTTTGTAAATATAAATTGTCTTCTTTACAGAAAAAAATCTTAAGCAAACAGCATATACAAACATATAGTATACTAATAATAAAACCGTATAGATTTTTTTTAAATAAACAATTCATACATTTACATCATTAACCCCATCTCCAATTGTAGTTTTTATTTTATAAAAATTGTACTGTATTTTGCGGATAAGTAGGCATGGTATTTCCAGACTAGACACAGCTCAGTCAGAGCTCTTCCATTTTATGTGGTCAGTTGAGCAGTCAACATCGTTTGGTTCCCAAAATTTCAATAAAAATATAAAAAAAATAACGGTGCTATATTTTTCGGCTCAAAATTTATAATTCATGGATCTTTCGAAGGTCGAGAGGCAGGCACCAGCCGAGGGACAAGGCTCAGAGCCTCCAAACTATATGAAGATATTGCTGCAGGACATGATATGCTTCTTCGTCCTGCTCTCATTGGCCCTGCTTGTCGTGGCAGGCATCCTATATGTGGCAGACGATGTCACCCGGCTCCATCACCGTCCGCGGGATTCTGTCAACGGATCGCGGGCAGTGTCAGTGGAAGATGCGTCCAAGCATATGCATATGCATCGGTACTTACGCCCGGACACATGGCTTAGGCTTTTTATGTGCCAGAAACAGCAGGATACGAGGATGGTGCAGCAGCATGAGCGAAATCAGAGGCATGAACAGGAACTGCTAGGCGAGGGACAGAGACTAAAGGAAACGGTGGAGCAAGAGGAAATGGACGAGCATCAGCCATTTGGACCTTACGTCGATTCTACCTATGAACCCAATAACCATCCTGAGCATAACCAATTGCAGGCTGGCGGGGATCATGTCGTGCGGGAGGAACCTCTTGATAATCAATTGGACTCTGAAACGAAGCCATCTTTTGAATTTTTCTGATTGTTATACTTGGGATGTCTTTTCCCTGCCTGCAATTATTTGGAGGAAGCCTGCTCTGCGGACCATTAGGAAAATGTAAAGTGAAATAAATGCCTAAATTTATTATTTATTTGTATTTAGTTATTTTTAAAGTTAGTAAGCAGGGGTTTTATATTTGTTAATATATAAATATTCGATGATAATTTACTTTCCGCACTGTGACGTATCTGAAAGAAGTACCAGCTCTTCCGCCCTTCTGTTCCCTTTCAATATTTTATTTATGAAATAACTTCACATTGCTCTTCATTAAAATACTTGTAAAAAACGATACTATTTTAAGAGGCGATTGTTGTGTCAGCCAGTATTTCGCACGGTTATTAAGCAGGTACTTCCTTATATGTATAACGGCCTATGGTAATGGAGTCATGATACCTTCAAGTATGCCACAGTCGCGGAACCTTTCAATTATTTGCAAGAACTTTAACTGATTCACGACTCCCCTCAATGGCACCCCAGATTCTGGCTAACAAGCCGCTGCTTGGTGGTTGCTCACTGGCGAATATCTCGGCTCTTGAATCTCGGAAATTGTACACAGATCGACGTGTAAGTGTTGTTGGGCTTGATATTCATCTCGGAGATGCCAAAACAAACAGAAAACAAAGCCGCAGACAGTAGCTGCGCATGCTCATGCCCATGATGGGTTAATTGAGGTATTGAGAGCCGCGGACCCAATGAAATGAAGTGTCTAATGTTTGCATTATCGCGCTCTAACTGAACAATTGCAGTGGCTGCTGGTCTGAAGGGCAACCGTGGTTAGGGCGTGGATTTGGCTAGAATCCCGGCCCCGAGGTCGCCCGAGGTCGAGCCGTGTTCTATCCAACATGCCTGATAACTGCAGCTGGGCTGGGCTGAGTAATTGCATGTAGGAGGAGGAGATAAGCTGGAAGCTAAGAACATTTGCATAGAACGACAACGGCAGCTGGCGGGGCAAACAATTGCATAATCCACCACAATAACAATTCTCATTTTCGGGTATTTGTTTTGCCATTGGCATGTGGGCGTTGTTGAGGCTTTTGTCTTTTCCTTTATAATAAAATTTAATTAAAATAATCGGTTGTTAGCTTAAGCTTCGGCTAGGCAAGGCTCTCACAGCGAGCTCTTGAGAAATCCATATTTATAGAGAGTGATTTCAAAACAGTTTCGGCCGACCAGAGTCAAGAACCAAAGGCTTAAATCCCAGAGATGAAGCCTTAATGGCGGCACAACACGAAACGGAACGTGCAACTTGAGGAACTGGCGGTGGTTCTTATCTCCGATTGGCTTGAATATTTATGAAGCTCCCCGTTAATTAGACAGATGACTGGGCCAAGACAAAGTGACACTATTACAATATGCATGCCAGCGGATTTACAGTTTGGCCGAAAACAGTCTTCCGACGCTGGGAAAGTTTCGCCAAGGGGAGAAGCGACTCATTTGCCGAAACTTGTTCTGAGCTTAGAACGAAGAACGAAAACAAGTTTGCTGCCTAAGTCTTTTGTTCTGCGATTTCTTGGATCTTTCGCTTGCGTGCTTGATATTTTCATTTACTCCTATAAATTGCATAATCTTTATAGATTCGGGAGATGTATCAATTCGGTGTTCTCGTATAGTAGTGACACAGATTTATTTATAACTCTGTTGTTCTGCTGTTGCCAGCTTAAGCCGGTCTGTGGGCCAAAGAAATGGGTGTGACATGAAAGCTAAAGCTAAAGCTATCCCGCCGATGGATATATGTATGATATAATAACCCCGAAATTGCTCGTGACTTTGATGTCTGCTCCGGACAACCCAATCAATCCAAACGATTTATGTAGGGCAACCCAAATTTAATTGTGTATATATAATTTCTGCAGAAGCATTGACAAATTATAAGCTTCATTTAATGATGATCGTTGACCGAAGAGTACCTCTTGGTATCGATTTCCGAGTTGCTGGACCACATGCTGGGCCTCTTGAAAGGGGGAAACAAGTTAGGAAAGACACACACATACGCACCCATTGACCACGAACAAAAGACACAACTGTCTGCCCTGCAGAAATCACCAATTGCAGGCAGATAGATGGATGGATGGATAGATGGATGGCTAGTTGCCTGGAATCGATGTTAACTGTTACATGTGTACTCGATTTTGTACTCTCTCTCTCCCTCCACGTCGTCGTCGTGTTTCTTGGTATGACTCTTTGGCAATTAAATAAAACATGCCGCATCAGTTGGGGCTGAGTTTTGCAATGCTTATATAACCATATGTAAATTATGCCAGCAAATGAAGAAGAAATATGGCTGAGATCATGCGCTTTATACAGGAACACACCTCAAAAAACGAGCTCTTTTAAAAAAAAAAAAAGGGAACTACCGCCAACCAGGTCCGGGCTACTGTCCATCTCAGACCGTACCAGATGCAGATGCAGAGGAGGCTCTGAGGTCCCGAGTCTGGACCCCATAACCCAATACCCAAAACCCAAGCCCAAGCCCAACAATGGCTGGACTGCAATTGAAGCGCAGGCATTGACAAGATAATTTCCTGGGGGTGCTGCATGCAATGCAGTAAATCCTATCATTTATACCCTCTACATGGGGGAGCTCTGACTACACTAAATGTGATATATACATATATACTGAATATAAACTGTAATATTTAATATTTAATTTAATTATCATAGATGTCAAAACATCATTTAATAATTTAAGGTACTTTCTATAATAATAACTTTGGTTATTTTAGGAAACCGGGAAATAAAAAGTATCTCTAAGATGCATTTTCCCAAAAAACTACAACTAGAGTAACTCTATTTCCATAAACCCATTGTCCCCGGAACTTTTCCGTCCTTCTTGCCTGCAGTTCGTCTTCGTTTTACAAATTGTACAAGGCAAGCAAAAATAAAATCCAAAAAGGAAAGAAAAACTCTGGCCACGACTCGGGCCGGCAGAAACGAACAGAAATTGGCTAGTTTCGCAGACCGCGTTAAGTTGACTGACTACCAATTGTTGTTGCCACGATGCTGAGGCTACTATGCGAATAATTTCAAACACAAACTGCCGCCAACAGCCAAGAAGGTTCATAATTATTGAACGAAAGGTTTGACGTTGTTGCTGCCGCTTGCTGTGGGTTGTGGCTTCTTGAAATGTTGCAACTACAGCAGCAGCAACTACAGGAACCACGGTCGTTGTGGGGCAAGAGTGCAAAGTGGCGGGTTAAATAGGTTTTGACTACTTGAAGACAGTTTCAGCGCTGCAGCGGCAATTGCATCGTTTCGTTTATGAAGATTTACGATGTCCAAATTAGCCATTTGTTAGCCCCAAATCACGTAGCTGATCCTGGCTTGGGTCATGTGAAGCCAGTCAGTGTCTTTCCCTTCCGAGAGTCACATTTTTGTGATAGTAATTACCCTGCTCCCCCTACAGGTTTTTAATTGACAGACTTCCATCTGATGAGACCCCCATAAAAAGTCGAACAAACTGATTGACTTTGAGTATAATTATTCTCATTGCCCAATTGGATTAATTGATTTTCGAGCCGTGTGTATATTTCCGTGAATTTATGATTTATTATAAGGAACATGCATGTGGCCTCTGATGGATGTAGTTTTAATTGAATTAGCAGCGGCTTCCATTTGGAGCTGGAGTAGTAATCAAACAAACAGTTCTGGGAATTTGCAGAATGTATTTTTCTTCAATTTATTTAATATTATGTTTAAAAACCCCATAACCAGAGTATCAAATGCTGTATTTACAGCCAAAAATTAATAATTCATATTCGAATCAACAAATTAAGACCAATTTGGGTTAATATACATAATCAAATCCATCGCTTTATTTTAACTACTTTATTTACACAACAAATCCACCGCAAAACTCACACTCACAATATTTGTAAGCGACCAAGAAAAGCATTTCATTCAAGTGTCGAAAGTTGACCACAAAATTAACTTTTAAGGGCAGCCACCGTAATGCCATCACCTTCGCTTTGGCCCGAGCACTTCCAGTGCCCAATTTGTCGGTTTTTTTTTAAGGGGGAACAATGACAGAAACAGAAACCACACGAATATGCTCGGGTGTGTGGATATGAATAAACATGGAGGCCCGCGAATAATGTGGGGCTTGCATAACCTCATTTGGCGGCTTATGGGCTCGCGTGCTCCCGTGCTGGGTTTTTGGTCGGCGTGATATCGTGTACGCAGATATAACCGCGAAGATAGAAGGAAGACAGTCTTCAAGTGTGCCTGCACTGCACTGCAGCAGATCGAAGTGGGATCGAGTGTGCTCCCCGAAGACAGGAAAAACGACGGGGCCATGGCACAGCTCATCATCTCCAGTCAGCTCGCTTTCAAAGCGACAGAGTGAACGAGTAACATTTGAGCAGTTTATGACAACGACTGACCTTTTTGGGCAGCTCTTCGAGAGGAAGTCGCTGTGGAGTGGCCAGGAAATGATTAATGGCTCTATTGATGCATTCGGTGGGTCTGCTGCTCGAAAGATGGGTCTGCTGCCCAGCGAATGCGGAATAATCGAATAGAAGGCTGTCCGCCGAAGGTTTATCTGCGCCATCAGCCCTCGACCCATTCACACCTTGCACAACCCACAAATCAAAACTGGGAAAACTGGCCAACAAAGTAAACCCCACCAATTATAAGATGGGGCAATGGAACAATAATTCTTCCTGGCCATTATTGCGACTGCCACCGAAACTGCAGGGCGTCGACAAAAGCCAAAAGTTGAGGCAATCCAACCCGATCCGAGATCCCAGGCAGCGTTTTCAGCAATTTCGAATCAATTATATGAAGGCGACTACCACTTCCATTGTCTGGCTTTGGTCAATGCAAAACTCACGACTTGTACAAGTTTTTTGTGAGCTTGTTTTTTGCATTTAACTTGAAGAATTTTGCTCAATTGAAGCACTTACAATTTACAGCAACTTTCTAACATCAATAAATATGTATGTATAAATAAATTTCGAATTATTCATCGCGTTTGGCCAGCTCCTCCAGAAGTTTGGCGCTTTGGGCCTTAATCTGTTTGCGATTCGGCACATTGGCCATGGTCTTGTTCTCCTGTAGGATATCGTCTTCCGGCGCCGTCTTCGGCTGCTCATCCGTATCCACCGCTTCGTGCATATCCAAGCTGGCCAAGAAATCGGTATGATATTCCTCAACATTTCGCTTGATGGTCGCCGGCTTTAGCTCGATCGTGTAGGCCTTCATCACCTTGTAGATCTTGCGCTTCACCATGTGCATTATGTTGTCAACTGCGGGAAGAATGTTGGATTTATGATCTTAGTTTTTGAATGGTGGCCAACTCAACTGTTCTCCTCGAAAATCTCCGGGGCGGCGGCCCTCATGTTAAGCATTTCGAATTTAAGCAAAGGCAGCTTGAGGTACGAGTTGGGATACAGGGAACGTATTAGCTTGGGCTGGCGATCCACATGACGAAGAATCTCCAAGAGATTCCAAATGGATAGTCTGCAAAGGTATTAGTAAAAATTAGAAGTAAATAGCAGAATTCCCCTTACCTCAACATGACATATGAGTCAGCTCGATTCTTAAGGTGCTGCAAGGTATCCTGCTCGAATTGTACATCTTTTTGCAGCGTTTTCTTCAAGTCCTTGATGCGCTCTTGGCGACTGCAAGTATAAAAGAAGTAGCATAAGCAATAAATCATTATTTTGTTAGGGAACAACTCACTTGATCTCTTCCTCTGAGAGATTGTTGACCAGAACTCCCTTCAGAACACTGGCGCACTTCATTTTGGTCTCCAGCATCTCGTGGGACAACATGTCCTTGACAATCATGCGATGCAGCTTGTCGTTATTGTCCACCTGGCTCTTCATTCTATAAAAACATAGTTGTAACTTAACACACAAACACTAAACGTAATAGTCACAAACCGCGGGTAAATTTCCTTGGCCTGGGAGCACAGCGTCACAAACTTGACCTCCTTAATGGTCTTCTCCACGGCCTTTAGCTCCAGTTTGAGTATCATCATGCTCTGGGTCTCTCGCACATATCGCTTGAGATTCTTGGTTTTTGGCGATTCCTTGGCCTTGTTAAAGTTCATAAGAGTAGTGGTGCCCGGCTTTTTGAGGGTGGCCAACATTTGAAGCTTCATCTGCAGGTTCTTGCGGGACTTCTCCTCCAGGCTTCGGAACTCATCGTTCAGTTCCTTGAACTTGGCTATGGCCGGCATGCCCAGATATAGGATATGTTTGATGAAGTTCGTCTGGTCGTCCATGTCGCTGCTAAGGGAGCGCAGGATGGGTTCGTAGAAAATCTCGTCGTGGACAAGCACCTGTATCATCTTCTTGTAGGTGTTGTTGATGGTCTTGATGGCCTTAAGACGCACATTCGAGTTCTCGATCTTCTTGAGAAAGACGCGAGACTTGAGCTCTTCATCGAGAATGAACTCGTTCTGATACTTGATGCGATTCTCGAGCAGGGCACGTCGCAACTAAGGGATATGGGGTTACATAAAGTAGTTCAGCACTGATAAAATTAATTGAAAATCAAGTGCTAACTGTGACTAAGTATGTAAAGATGAAGTATACCCACCAATTGCTCCTTGTATTGCTGCTTTAGCTGATCTAACCGAAACTCCAGACGATCTCGCTCCTTTCGCATCACAAAGGTTCGCTGATTGATGTTATCCACCACCAGGTGAATGGGCATCTTCTGGTACAACCGCTGCATGTCCTTGTGATTGATAAGAAAGTTGCGAATCTTGTGCGTGTTGTCATTGACCAGGACATTCTGCAATTTGGTGCGTCCATCGCGACACTGCAGCTTCAGACGTTTGTTCTCGCGGAAATACCGCTGGCGATTGGCCTTTGATTCGTGGTTTTTGAACACCAACCGACGAGCTGGTGGCAAAGGCTGATTTCTATACCTTTAAGAGTAACAAAGACCAGGTAACTCACTCAACAAGTCAGACATTCCCTTGAACTGCTCGGTCAGCGAATTGGGCGTCCAACGGTCATCCACCATCACATGCTGGTGGACATAGGACATGCCAAAGAACCCGTGAAAGCGCAAAGGGCGCGGATGCACGGGCCTGGGAGCCAGGACTTCCTTCTCCCGGTTCTTATCCCGACGCGGAATGAAGGCCATTCCCCTCTGGCGCAAAGCACATGGCGGCATGGTGAGTGTCTGTTTTTGCAACTTTGTATCTTGAATAGCTCTTGGCTGAGAGTTGAGTTTGAGCGGATCGAGAAACTGTATTCAATGGAATAAAGTCACTGAATGTCTGACAAGTATATCAGCAGACGACTTGAATAAAACTTCAGGGGAATAATATTTATTTTACACATTTATTTTGCACTAACATTTCTTTTTATTTTGTTTTGGAGTTGGGCTTGTTTTCAACATAATTTTATAATACACAATATACTTTACTCCTAACTTGTAACTGATGATTAATGTGTGCTCTTACATACCCAAAATACTTTGCATTTCCATGAGATTGGATCGAATTGAATTTTAAGAATTAATCGTGACAAAAATACTTAATTTTCTTGGTGTTCAATGGGGGACTTGTATTTTAATTTTAATTGTAATTTATTAATTGCAAAGGTAAAGCGAGAAACGATAGAAACACAGCAACAGTTTAGTTCAAACGTAAATAGCACTTAGTTGTAGATAATCTGTATTGCACGATCGATCTATGGTTATCTACAAGATACATTTCGATTTGGTAAGCCAACCCTCTAAGCGTATTCCATGGAAAATTTATGACCAAATTTAGCTCACTGTTTTCGAGTATCTTTAAAATCGCATTCTAAACTTTAATCGAAACATCAACAAGTGGCGCAGTTCGCAGCGGGCTAATAGTACGATTCCGATTTCGACGCACATATGCTTCGTGTAGACAGTATTAGTAGTTTATCTTAGTTAGACCTAAGTATGAGTATAGTTTTAGCTCAAACACCAGCGTATAAATATTGTCATAAAACTTCTTTTTTTTTGTCGTTTTCTTAATGTTTGTGTATAATTTTGCTAAATGTACATTGATTTTGTGGGGGGGAGTTGTGTGTTTTCATTAGCTTTAGCTTTGATGAAAATTCCATACATGATTGTTTGCTTCTAACGCTTTATTGCCTACGAGAGTTGACCCACCTAGCCATCCAATACTAATTAGGAGATTAAGTCCTGGTCAACCACCTGCTTATATTTGTATTCGTATTCGTTTTCTTTGTGAAAATATTACCTACTTTTGTGAGCAATGGAATTGCATTGTGGCTTGTGCAAAAATATAGCATACTTTTTGCTGCTTCTGTGATTAAGTTTCAATGGGAGGAAACGCCAAGGAAATAACGATCTTCCGATCGTTTGTAGGTGAAGCAAATGGAACCGTCAAAAGAGAAGGGAATACTTTAAAGGGAGTGGTGGGTTAGAGTTGATAAAAGATCTGGAAGTCATTCAATTGGTTTGGCATTCACATTCCAGTGCAGCAGGGAGTTAAAATTATAAGAAAGAAATATAAACAGAAAATGCAAATTATAAAATTAATGTATATCATGTAAATTTTATTTAAACATAGTTCAGCGTACTGAGGCAGTAGGAGGAGGTTCCCTACACGCACCCCTTATGCTGTATATACACAATTTAGAAATGAACTACATACGTATCTGATGAAGTCGTCAGCTTCGAAGCGAATTAAATAAATGTCTAATACAACGTACGCTCTAGAGTATAACACATATTAAATAAACGTTGTGGATCTCTACATATTTAAATATATCTTCAACGCGTTTCATACATACAATCGATACGGCTTGAATCTTTCGTTAAATAATACTTAATAATTACCAATGTTTACCGTTTTGTTCTTCACAAATTAAATTTGGACAAAATTGCAGCTAGTTTGGAATGCATTTACAAATAATTTTCATTTTAACAAATCATAATTGGCTTATAACAGTCTAAAACATACGTACATATACTTGGCCACAAGACCTGGCCAATTAATTAGATAACAAAAAAGAATATAGATTTTAATAGACGGATTAAAATATTGCAAATGATTACGCAAGCACTTGGACTGAGTTTAAGAAGGTGTCGTTTCTGAATCAATCCTCTTCGTCGTCCGCTTTGAGACAGTTGTTAACACACATAGTTCCACTAGATATAATTTAACGTGTTTTTTAGTGATTGGCGTAGGACACAACTACAGGTTTCGTAGAGACTTATTAATAGAGTTCATAGGTATATTTCACATAGGCTACTTTCCTTTAGCTATTTATGGAAATTGTTTCGTTTCTGCTTCCTCTTATCTTCACTCCGTTCGTTTTAGCGTATAGTATATAAATTGGTGTATACATATAAATAGTCAAACTTATTTGTTTTTCATTTAAATAGTAATAATATAAATATATATATATATATGTTTATATATATGTGTGTATGTATATAGCATTTGTTTTAGTGTTTTTTTCGCTCAATGTTCAACATTTTAATATAATTTTCTTATCTGCATCCGTTTTTTGTGTGTGCTGTTTCCGTGGAATTTATATATGTTTCATCTGTCAAACTTGTTTAATTTCTTCTTTGCAAATATATATTATATATAATTGGTTTCATTTACGATTTAATATTTAATTACGCCATTGTGTGTGGGGTTCAATGCTTTGCTGTCTATGAGGTTAGAGCTCTTGGTGTGAGTGAGTGAGTGGGTGTGTGGGTGTTGTACGTATGAGCTCCTGGCCGCGGGACCGCTTATAACGCACCAAATGGATCCAGTGGGACGCCGACGCCTTTATTGCCTCCATTCTGCGTCGCCTGCATGGGCTGCATGAGGCCCGTTGTCGCATTACTGTGCGGCGCCGCCATCATCGTCGGCTGCACCCCAGTCAAAGGGGCTGCTGCCTGCTGCCCCATCAAAGTTGGCTGCCCCATCACCGGCATTCCCTACAAGAGTCATGGAAATCGGCATTAGTCATCGTTCTCGTTCCCAAATCTTCAATTCATGCACTGGTAGAAGGGCAATACTTTTATTAACTGCTATTGGACAGACTCAAATGCTACAAAAAAATCAGTGGTGGAAAAGAATAGAGTTGTTGCTTCGGGGCCGCCGCCGTGAGCTTGGAAATTAGTTGCTACATTTTGGAATCATACGGAAGTTAGTAGTGAGAGTGGTCTACGAGTCTAGGGAAAATAACTGAAACTGATTTAAGAAACTCAAAAACAGTGCAACGTAATAATGCAATTTAGTTCAGAGTCGAGAATCAGAGAGGAGGATGGCTGACTGGGCACCAAAACCAAAGTAGAAATCGGTTTTCTTCGAAAGCTTACGAGGAGAAGTCAACCGGCGTTATATATAGTGCTGAAGAGAGATGATAGATTTCGATTGATAATCATAAGGTTAACATAGAATAGAATAGAACATAAAGGATATCACAGAACGGAAACGATAATTTCGGTTTTTAAGGTTATAAAAAACGGCAACTGAGGTCAAAACCAAAAATGGTATTTATTTGTAGTAACTCTTTATTCTGTACTCTTTCTTTTGAATTTTTTTGAAATTTGTATTGGTTTTGGTTTTTTTTTTTTTTTTAGTTTTTAGTTTTTAATTCGTTGATTTTTAGCATCATCTTACCTGCATATAATTTGGCATTACAGGATAACTAGCTTGTATATACGGATGATTGATTGTGATTGGCGCAGGACTTACGGTCATGCCATGTGCCTACGTTATATTGATATTGATATTGATATATTGATAGAATATATATTGATATATATCACAAACACACATACACACACACACAGACAGCATTAACACAGGCGCATCGTGAGTGGTCATAGGTGGTTTCGTTTGTCGTTGTTTGTTTGTTTGATCGGTTTCAATATATATTTATATATTTAGTAGTGATTCATTCAATTCAATTCGATTCGGTTACGATTTTGCGGTATGCGTTGGGATAGTTGAGATATAAAGCAAACATAAAATAAAGAAAAGAAAGTAAGTGATAGTTCATATATATACTTGGTTGAAATGCAAAATAAAAACGTAAATAATAATGAAATCAAGAAGTAAATGTGATTTTTGTCGCCTGCGTGTGTTGTGTCTGCCCGCCGAGTTGTGCCACAAAAGTTATTCCTAGTGCCTGTATATGTATATCCAAGTGCTAGTGTACAGTGTGACCCAGAAATAATGGTAAAACTTACAACCCGCCATAACTTGGTTTTACACTTTGATTCTCTGGTCTTTTGCAAATTCACAAATTGTATATAATAGGAAATGTGAGACAACATTTAGAAATTGAAAAGAGGGACTGTCACAAAGTAAGGATATGAAAAATAAATGAGATAACTTTGTTCCAATCCAAGTTAAGAAAGTCTTAAGCAAGCTCAAAATATTTGCATACAGATCAAGATTATACTGGAAATCAAGGGAACCAAGTAGCTCAAGTTGTAAATCGATTTGTGCAATTTAGAAATAAACATTAATTTCGATAAGGAAATAAGGTAAAGCTGTATAACTGTGTGATTATTGTACATGACGACGAGGTGTAGCCTAGAGTGTGAGGTGACACAAAATTGGTAAATAAAACTAAAAGGTAAAACAATGCATTTACATAAGTACAAGAGTTCAAAATTAGTTTCATTTCTTTTCTGGCATTGAATTATATTCGCATTTGATTCGGCATTCGACATTCTAGTGATTTTCTGTGTGTTTCGAATTATTCATAGTTTTTGGTCTCTGGGCTAGGTTCGAAGGCAACGCGTTAGCGAGTCTTTCAGAGATTGTGACTGGCATTCTTAAACGGATTCTTTCGAGTAGTTGTGGTTTGAGTAGAGTAGTTCGGTAGACAGTAGAGAGTAGAGTTAGAGTAGGCAACACTCACCATTGGACGATAGCCAGCACCAGTTGTAGCCGCCATTGGTTGGGGTGTCCAATTAGCACCTGGTTTCGCTGTATTTTTAGGTGAATTCCATTGCACGGGTCTATGAGATAATGGGGTAAGAGAGTAATGATATATAGACGAAATCAATGAACACGGCATTTGAATTTGGGGATTTTCTATCTAAAAACAGATTTGTCTGCGTGATTTCGAGCTATTTTCTTTTGGATGGACTTTATGTACACACACATGGAGCATGAATATGGACATGGATAAATGGTGGGCGGGACCGGGGTTTTCTTAGATTTTCAAGGATTCTGGGATCGTCAGGGTATGCGGAAAATGGCTAATCAAACTGATCTTTGATTGAAGAGTTCCCATCGATTGAGAGTGTGAACGGATGGAGACGTGACGTGACAACATG